ATTTCAACCAAATTGGGCTGATTAAGCATGCACTGGTTGGAAGAGGCAGATCAGCGATACCTGGTATGACCCAATATGGTAATACGATGTATTTATTTGAAAAAAAAATACCCCTTCTATATTGGTGAAGGGACCTGAACCAAATTTGGTTTGAATATAATCACTTAATTGACCTGAAGGTTACTCGATGCTGTATAAACGAAGAGTGTGCTGACCCCACAAGGTTGGCCAGATGGGAGGAGGAACAACAGCAGAATTACTGCAGTATAAGATGCCTACCTTGGCCTTTAGACAACTTCTTGTTGTCTTTCTACAAATGCTCATTTGAAAGTGAAATAGGAGGACTTGGGGCGGTCCTCTTCACCTTATATTTAGCTGCCTGATTAATCCAGCATCATATAAAACAAAAAGTCGGTCAGGACAGGGTGCACAGGTTGAGTAGATGCCTGGTGGCAAATCTTAATTACCACAGAACCTGACGGTTATTTTCAATCAGGAATTCAATCACTCTTATGATTTAAACCCCAATATATATACATTTAATTTGGTATTTTTTATAATTTTCTTCGCTCTAAAATTGCTCACACCCATTGTAGGCCTATATTTGTTACACTGTTGAAAAATGGAAAATAATTAGCTCTCATTATCAATTGACAAGAGAACGAAGGGGTCCCTTCAGTTTGGTATGAGGGATCAATACTAGTTATAGCATGGACTTAGATAACATCTCATTCCGTGGTTATAGTGTGGAAAAATAAAATATTCTGAAAAAAGAAACCTTTTTGAGATCGAAAGGATGTTAAAGATTGATCAAATAATTTATCAAGTTCTTGAAAATTTCCAATTCCAATTATTCCACTTTAGAGTATACTATGATACAATTAACAGGTACACAGTAACTTGGCCCTTTCACCCCTATGTAACTTTAATTAACTCTACCATGCACTGATCTGGATAAGTCCATTATGGTCTACAGTGGTGAAAGGGTTAGTTAAGTGATCAGGAGAATTGACAATGGCTTGGTTGAATAGCAACAACTAGCAGGGCGGATGATATAATGCTAATAAAGATTCTCGGAAAGTTTGTAAGTTAACCCTTTCACCACTGTAGACCATAATGGACTCTTCCGAATTAATGCATTAATGGGGTAAATCCCAGACATGTGGGATAACAGTAATGAAAGGCAGATAGCGTGACTAACTTGACTTGATGGCTACCCACCTGTTGATTTAAATTTTTATTTTGTGCGTATTTCAACCTCAGCCCATAACAAAGATTATAAGGTCACAGCGATATGATTTCGTAGACAAATTACATTCTATTAATTCTTGTAATCGGTAAAAGGCATGTTATAGCTATAGGAAACAGAGACGATATTGATATTGTTCTTGTCGGTCTCTGGTCGAGGCAAGTGAAGGCCAGCCTTAATGCTTAGCATGCCAATTACTGTTTATAGTAAAAACGTCGTGCCACCAGGTTGTTGCCACATCTCAAACATCTAAACTATGAGGAGCGTCTGCGAGTTTTAGGAATACCTTCCTTAGAGTACAAACGTGAAAGAGCAGACATGGTAAACCTTTATAAAATATGCAATAGACTTGTAGATGCCAACGTGGATAAATTCACAACTTTCGCGGACGGACAGAATGTACACAACACCAGAGGACATAACAAAAAACTTTTCAAGAAAAGATTTAGGACCAAACTAACAGGAAATGCATTCTCCAACCGAGTGAGCGAACCGTGGAACAATCTAGACTCCACCGTAATAAATGCTCCATCATTAAACTGTTTAAAATCAAGACTGAACCGTGCGTGGAAACACCACCCAAGAAAATTCAGCCCCGCATGCTTCAGAGCTGGAGGTGCAAACCGGGAGTCCGTACCAGTAGCATTAGTAGAAGTGTCAGTAGTAGTCGAAGACTAATGGGATGACGTCGACAACGGTGAGTTAACGGTGAGTTAACTGCACTGACCTTCAGCCAACATGAGATAATATCTCTATTTATTCAACGAGTCTTAAATTTCTTTTCTTAACAGTAAATATCTCCATAATTACGGAAAAAATGTCCGTCTGATTAAACTAATGTTGATACACAAGCAGGAATGATTAATGCATAGCATTAAAAAGACAGATCAGTACCTTAATAAGGAAGAAACACCAGAAAAAATAAATCCAATTAGGTGGCCTTCGTGATATGGCTAAAGCACAGGGACCTCATAACTTGTTACAGCTCTGTTTGGATCTAACCTATGATTTTTAGAGTAATTTTACATGTTTGGGGTGGTATTTTTACTGAAAATTGATCTTAACCCCCAAATCATGTAAAATTACTCTAAACATCTTAGTTTAGGTCCAAATATATATATATTTCGCTGTAACAAACTCTCAGGTCCCTGTGGGTTACAGCTGATTACAGACTATGTGTTTTACACCATTTCCGAATGGGTTGGGAGTGGGGCTGGGGGAAGAAGAAGGAAATATATATGTATATCTATGTGAGCCTCACTTCGTTTTTATTCATTAAATCATTCAAGATTTCGATAGTGCCATATATTTAATCTCAAGAAAAATTACTCTGGGGCAATCAGATATATAAGACATATAACACATCAGNAGGCTTTACATGTTCGGCATGTTATGGGTTTTGTTTTCTAAAGGCTAGTATCAGAACACTTTGATACTACAACACTGAAACCATAATCCAAACCAGGACTGTTATCAAGAGGCTAACTAAGATACCCTGTATCCCATAATTAGCATAGAGAGAATATATCTGTCTTCTATTAAAAAGAGTTGGTATGAAAACAAAATGAAGGAATTGTACCCATATGTAGGTGCACAGCTTCAGTATGAAGTCAATATGTCAAAATGAGAAAATAATACCTGGATGCACAACATCAGGGGATGGATACCATATCTGTAAAATTTCGTTGAAAACAGTAGTTTTCTGGACAAGTATTTTCAACAAAGGGCCATAACTCCATAGAATCAGAATGAAAAATGAAACCTGGATGTGCAATATCAGGGTGTAGTTCTGATATCTGTAAAGTTTCATTGAAATAAGAAGTTTAGGCAGATTTGGAGAACAGATAGGGTAATTCCAGTATACCCCCACCCCCCCCCCCAAAAAAAAAATCCCAGAAGTTTGTTGCAGGTTGTATACTTATTTCCAAATATTCTAGACGGTTGAGGCCGAGCAACAAGGGTAAAGTGAATTGCTCAAAGACACAACTTGAACCCACAACCTTGGGGTCAGCAGTGACAGCATCCTTATTACCATAGGAACAAAGAAAATCTGTGCTTTAAGACTTTAACACAAGAAGTATTATTAGCCGATTCAACACCAAACAAAACTGTTTTGTTTTCTCTACAACAAAGTTTGGTCCCACAAGAACCTCCATGCCAAATATCACCAAACTGGTAGATATTATATTGATATAATATTTATATTAATAAATAAAAAAATCTCTTTTGACTATTGTGGACCAATGTTTGACCCGTTGAGATCCTGCATGCCAAATACCATCATCCTAACAGAAACGGTGAATGTTGTATGATAATGAATATTTCAACACTTCCAATAAAAGATTCACCTGGAGATTCAAGCACGAAAAAAAGTTAAATTCTTGCATCCTTGGCTTGCACAAATAATGAAAGGTTACACTATAGTGAATTTGATTACTTATGCATTGACTTGAACCTGAATTTTTAATGCAAAAATAGTCAATTCCAAATAAAAGGAAAACAAAAATCCTATTTTTGAATGCGCCACCTCTTCGTTGGACCACTCAAGATCTGCCTCGACAAATATCAGCATCCTGCTGTAATTACTGAAGTTATGTTTAATAGACATGCAAACTAACGAAGCCTCAAAGGCTCGTGTATTGTCGAGTCAGTAGATTATGGAAATAATCCTCATTCCTGTTTCTTCTGAACCAGTCATCCAGTGAGCAAGCAGGGAGAGCATTCATGAAATTGTCTGGTAAATGTACATTTTAATTACAAAGGTAGCACTGTTATAAATCTGAAAAGAACTACCTTTTTCCAGATTCCTTGATATATGTAAGTACTGTACATACTTGCCAACTCTGCCTATTTTGGAGAGAAATTCCTGATTTTGGACCCGAACATTAGCAATTCAACAGGTGAATGTGCTGAACTATTCCTATATTCTATGATCTGCTGATGTCATCTGATACAACAACTCAAACGATGCCATGTCCCTAGTGAGTACATACACACATTTTATTTATCACATAATGTACTTTGTTATCCAGTGATTATACCCATGTCATATTTTTTTTTGCGTATTAACCCATGTAATATGACGCATCAGCCCTGTGATTGGTTGAAAGTTTCAAATGTTTCAATTGTGATGTCACGCCAAGGACAAGTACATGACATTATAGACTTAGGCACTGGAGTCAAAATGGCGTCTTTTTACATTTCAAGGTTGCATGAAAATTATTGTTTTACACAAATAAATGCCACAAATTTTGATTATGTGATAAAAATGATCTTGCACTCGTTTTCATTTCATATGAAATTATTGAAACTTGTCATGAATTTTTCATTTTAGCTCACCAGAAGCTCGCTAAATTAAAAAAAATCCTAAGACTTGTTTCAAAAATATCATATGAAATAGAAACTCATGTAAGATTCTATATCTATGCTTTTTGAAACTCTGAGCAAACGAAATCTCCCCATGGGAATTTCAAAAAGGTTAGCAAGCATGTAACTTACATAAGTTGAACCTACTTACAGTAAGTCAGTAGGTTCAAATAAACACGACATCATTCTTAATCCTCTTAGTGATGTAACACTATATAGTAAAACAGTCACAAAATCCACTAGCACCAGGCATTGAAAGGGATATAATTATAAGTAATCAATATTCTCAGACTCAGAAAAAGTATTAAAAGCAATACCATATCATTAATAGGGCCATCATTCACAAATATACTTATTAACCGTACACAAAACATTGTGCATAATCTTCAGCTTTTTAAAACGAATTTATTCAAATTGGTGACAACAATTAAAACAACAATTTCCTCGTGACCGTTTAGAGATGTCTTAAGATTTTTCTGAGTAATCCTGAAGGACACCATCCAAATGTTCGTTCAATTTCTTGAATGTTTTTCTGCCTCCCTTCTTCCTCTTCTGTATGGGACCAGCCTTTCTTAGGCCAGTGTCCTGCATAGAGGTGATGCCTTGCTTTTCCAGATACTCTTCTATCTTTTTCTCATCTAAACCGTCCACAGAAACGCCCCTCCAAAGTTTTTTGAACTCTTCGTCCACAGTGTAACGGCAGTATTTATCATTGTAATACAGCACCTGTTTTTTGTCTGTGGGTCGTGTCACAACAACAACGTTCTCACCCAGTGCTTTCAAAGCCTTGTCTGTGTTTGTGGTACCAAACGACTCGTCTATATCTTCTTTTAATACTCCTCCCATCCCATGTAAGTCGTGTCGCTTGAGTAAGTTGAGGAAGGCTTTCCTGTCTTTAATTTCATACGTGGGCCGAAACAAATACTTCTGCCCTCCTTCCACCGCCTTAACTTTTGGATTACTCAACAAAGCTTCTGTGATGAGCCAGTGCCTCATTTTGGAGCCAGCGTCGAGCTGATTAGTTTCATCAAGAATCTCGTCTATTGTGAGGGAATGGCGCTCTCCCTGTTGATGCCTGTCGCGCATGTATTTCACTATTTTAGCGAGAATACCAAACTTGTACTGAGAACTGCCTCGCATCTTTTTGTAGTCGAAGGATTTAGCTTGCGGAGCACTACTACTTTCTGTAGGCTTTGGTCGAGAAAAGTTAGAAGATTTCGACTTTTTTGCAGATCTGTCGTCATTTTCCTGTTTGGGTTTCTTTCGTTTTTCAACTGTAGGCTGTGATTTCGCTCTTTCTAAGAAAGCCTTTCTTTCTTTCAAAAGTGCTGGATCCATATTGATAATCTGAAATTACATTGAGTCATCATTAATATATAGACAGCTTTAGTGGCTTGAGTTCTGCCTGCTTCTGAAAAACTATGGTCTAGAAATACTGCAACATCTCATGACAAGTGTACATTATGCCCTATGCCATTTGACACATAAAATTAAATTTTGACAAGCATTACTAGAAACAATTACAATAGAGATGCATTACAGTCATTATAATCAAGGGGTTTGCTGGCCTTTGAACCTTTTAAGTAGTTGTTTTCAGCTGGCAGCCATGGTTAAAAGAGGACTGTTTGTTTTCAGTCATGTCGACTCAAAATAGAATTACTTAATTTGTAAGTTTTTGACTTCTCTTAAACTTATGTCAGTAATATTTGGTGTTGAAAGGTTTTGGGTTTCATTTGAAAAATATGAACAGAACATTTTTTTTCTATTTTAACAAATGTTATTATATATATATTAACATATATAAATGGATAAGATAACAGGCTAGGCCTATATCAATCTTCTCCATGATGGCTTTTAGATGCAATAATGTACTTTTCAACATTAGACAATATCAGTATGTATATTTATTTCAGGAGGTAAGTCAATAATTCCAGATGTCAAAAGATGAACATGTAAGTAGCCAACTCTGGTATAGATATCATGGATTAAGTTCCTGGAATTAGAGTAATTTGGACAAGAGAAGAAGAAATGTTCAGAATTTTCAATTGGATGGCCGCATGAATAGGAAGAATCAGGAGATAGATGGGCATGGTCAGCAAATTTGTCATAATTTAAGTCACTGGCATTATTTCTAAGTTGGCAGAGGATAACATTTAACTTTCTAGGGCTACAATTTAGAAAAACAGGAGTAATATTTACAAGAGGGATTCTTTCATTATTCAATTTGGATTTGAATATATGTAATGATGGTGCTGAGATTGTTTCAGAATCAAGTGAGTTCCATATTCTCATGACATCTGGAAAAAACCCTATTGCCAAATAAATTAGATCTAAAGCTAGGAATATTAAAAAAATCTGTGTTGCCTAAGACTATGCGGTGGAACAATCTGTCACTTTATTCACCAGTTGTAAATAAGGTTTACATTGTGGGGTATGTTAAGAAGGCATTTATGGAGTTGTATATTTACTATATCTATTTTATTTCCAGCTCAAGATATCATACGGTACCACAATTATCCTCAAATTGTGTTCTTGCCAAAATCTTTTTGTGATGATAAAAAAGCTATGATGTGAACATTTCTATATCCTAACCTATATCAACCCTCGACCCTTAGTTCTTGCACTTCGGGCTATAGAGGTAGGATATGGAAAGTATCATATGAAAACTTGGCGTACCTAACAAGTTAAACCATTTGCAGATTCCAGCAAAAGAGGTTGCCTTTTAAAATATCAATTTCATTACAGAAACAAAATGAATTTAATCTTTATTACTTTAAAAAAAAAAATAGGATTACTTATCACCAGATCAGCCGCATCTTGTATATTGCTAGCCCGATTTCCACATATCCTGACACCAGACCTTAAGACATTTTGACAGAGATCTAGAGATGGTCATGACAGAGACGTATAACCAGTACAAATATTAATATCCGGCCCCGTCAGAAGCACAGGGGCACGGTTCAATTGATATATGAGGCCTCCTTGTTTACCAAACATGATGGAAAACAAGGAGGCCTCAAACATAAATTGATGAATTGAACCGTGTCCCTGTGTCAGAAGCTACGTTATCGCAGCTACAGTAGACACTATTTTTTTTTAATAAGAGTCAAGTAAACAAAGTGCTGGATTGAAGCGCTAGTACGAGATCATAGAATAGTATTAATGTACCAAACGCAACTATGGAAAAGTTTGAAAACTCAACTCCTGGTGTAGAATTTTAGGGTTTTATAGATCGTGTTGATGTACTAACCGTATAACGATTAGTCTACCTTTTATCAGTCTGCAAGGCTGTTTTCCTGCTTCTTTGCGTCTGCAAAGCGTCTAAATGATTATGATTCGTGCTTGAAAAACTAACAAATTGTTCTAAGTGTCCGGAAAATAGTGTGGAAGCAACACGAAGATCTCCCATCAACGGAAATGACATGTTAATAAAAATACTTCACATTTGTGTTGCATTAATTTGAAACACATAGGAATAAATTATAACATGCATCCCGTTTTAGAAAAATGACTATTTTGACTGCATTCCATTAGAAAAAAGAAGCGATTCAAATAGTCCAGACGATAGAAAAAAACATTGTATTTCGTATTTTTATGGGTTATAGCATACTTAACAAATTTTCTTACATGAAAAATATACACACAGACATCATTGTAAGCAAAAATTAATTGGAAATCAAAACGAAGTCGCGATAGGAAATAAGTGGCGAATGTGATCGAAATGGCTCGATATCATAAATGAAGGCTTCCAGGGGAGATGGATACAACAGTCACCGATTTGACCGAAGAAGAAATTGATGCATTTACACTACGAGAAGCAATTAAAACAGCCAATAGTAAAAGCATATCAATAGACGGATTGAAAAAACTGAAGGAGATTTTATGCAAACTGAAATCAAATTTAGTGAAGGATAGACGAAAACGAGAAGAGGTAGGTGGGCGGTTCTACTTTCACTTTGCAACAAGTAACTTAGACCCTACAATCAGGAAGAAGAGTACATTTTTTTAGAGTTCTTGTATTTTTAATCGGATTTCTTGAGAAATATGGAAAATTATCAAAAATTATCTATTGCATTTTTATATAAACATCCTGAAATATGAAAAAAAATGTAAAAATTGCATACAATGTATAATACATAATTCTATGATTATATAAATATATGCAAACATGGTCTGGATCTGAAGTTTATTAGATAATTTGATAAAAGTTCAAAATAATAATAAAAAAAAAAATAGTTTTAGGTTAAAAAATAAATAAATAAAAATCACTTTGGCAAAATTTTGCTACATTATTTTCTTGTTAAACTAGATTTAAAGTAATTTATTTGAAACTTGAGACTTTCTCTTTTTTTGGTGTTACCTTGCTTGATTCAGCATGCAGTTTTAAACATATATGTATTGTCATTGATGGCATATATTGAAAGTTATATCTGATGCATTTGTTACATATTTTGAGGTTTCTAGGAATGCATGAAACTGGTTAAACATGATGAGATTATGTAACAAGTATTGACCTAATATTAATTTAGTCAGGTTCACAAATGAATATGGTATATGACGACATCATACCGAATGACTCTTCCAAGTCATTCTATCTTATGTGCAAAATCAAGTTTACATATGAAAAACTTTAGACATGAATGTTTAGATAAAAAAGAAAGGTTGCATTTTTTCAAATACATTTTATCAAGCACTAAAATCAAATTTTTTTTCCACAATTTTCAGGTTATTACAATTTCAAATAATTTAAATTTTGACCAAAATTCCAACCATATAAATAAAGATTTTTTTTAAATGTTAAGTGTTACAGGGTTGTATAGTTGTTGAGAGTAATATGGAAAATGGATTGTTAAGTAATAATAGCATGGACCATGAATTGTTAAGCATTAAGGATATATATATGGACCATGAATCTTAGAAAATTAATAGACCATAAAGTATATGTGTCATTTGGACCATGAATAGTAAAATTTTGTAATGGACCATAAATTATGTGTTATATTGACCATGTGTTTTAAAATGTTCTATGAACCATGAATTGTTATGTGTTCTATGAACCATGGATTGTTCAGTGTTCTATTAACCATGAATTGTTAAGTGTTCTATGAACCATGAATTGTTAAGTGTTCTATGAACCACAAATTGTAAAGTGTGTTATGAACTATGGATTGTTAAGTGTTCTATAAACCATGGATTGCTCAGTGTTCTATGAACCATGAATTGTTAAGTGTTCTATGAACCATGAATTGTTCAGTGTTCTATGAACCATGGATTGTTAAGTGTTCTATAAACCATGAATTGTTAAGTGTTTTATGAACCATAAATTGTTAATAGTTCTATGAACCATGGATTGTTCAGTGTTCTATGAACCATGAATTGTTCAGTGTTCTACGAACCATGAATTGTTCAGTGTTCTATGAACCATGGATTGTTAAGTGTTCTATGAACCATGGATTGTTCAGTGTTCGATGAAACACAAATTGTAAAGTGTGTTATGAACTATGGATTGTTAAGTGTTCTATAAACCATGGATTTCTCAGTGTTCTATGAACCATGAATTGTTAAGCGTTCTATGAACCATGAATTGTTAAGTGTTCTGTGAACCATGAATTGTTAAGTGTTCTATGAACCATGAATTGTTCAGTGTTCTATTCACCATAAATTGTTCAGTGTTCTATTCACCATGAATTGTTCAGTGTTCTATGAACCATGGATTGTTAAGTGTTCTATAAACCATGAATTGTTCAGTGTTTTCTGAACCATAAATTGTTAAGTGTTTTATGAACCATGAATTGTTCAGTGTTCTATGAACCATGAATTTGCAAGTGTTCTATGAACCATGGATTGTAAAGTGTTCTATGAACCATGGATTTTTACTTGTTCAGTGTTCTATGAACCATGAATTGTTAAGTGTTTTATGAACCATGGATTGTTCAGTGTTCTATGAACCATGGATTGTTAATAGTTCTATGAACCATGGATTGTAAAGTGTTCTATGAACCATGGATTTTTACTTGTTATGTGTTCTATGAACCATGAATTGTTCAGTGTTCTATGAACCATGCATTGTTCAGTGTTCTATGAACCATGTATTGTTCAGTGTTCTATGAACCATGAATTGTTCAGTGTTCTATGAACCATGAATTGTTCAGTGTTCTATGAACCATGAATTGTTCAGTGTTCTATGAACCATGGATTGTTAAATGTTTTATGAACCATGTATTGTTCAGTGTTCTATGAACCATGAATTGTTCAGTGTTCTATGAACCATGAATTGTTCAGTGTTCTATGAACCATGAATTGTTCAGTGTTCTATGAACCATGAATTGTTCAGTGTTCTATGAACCATGAATTGTTCAGTGTTCTATGAACCATGAATTGTTCAGTGTTCTATGAACCATGAATTGTTCAGTGTTCTATGAACCATGAATTGTTAAGTGTTCTAAGAACCATAAATTGTTCAGTGATCTATGAACCATGAATTGTTCAGTGTTCTATGAACCATGAATTGTTCAGTGTTCTATGAACCATGACTTGTTCAATGTTCTATGAACCATGAATTGCTCAGTGTTCTATGAACCATGAGTTGTTCAGTGTTCTATGAACCATGACTTGTTCAATGTTCTATGAACCATGAATTGCTCAGTGTTCTATGAACCATGAACTGTTCAGTGTTCTATGAACCATGTATTGTTCAGTGTTCTATGAACCGTGAATTGGTCAGTGTTCTATGAACCGTGAATTGGTCAGTGTTCTATGAACCGTGAATTGGTCAGTGTTCTATGAACCGTGAATTGGTCAGTGTTCTATGAACCGTGAATTGTTCAGTGTTCTATGAACCATGAATTGTTCAGTGTTCTAAGAAACATGAATTGTTCAGTGTTCTATGAACCATAAATTGTTCAGTGTTCTATGAACCCTGAACTGTTCAGTGTTCTAAGAACCATGAATTGTTCAGTGTTCTATGAACCATGAATTGTTCAGTGTTCTAAGAAACATGAATTGTTCAGTGTTCTATGAACCATGAATTGTTCACTGTTCTATGAACCATGAATTGTTAAGTGTTCTATGAACCATGGATTGTAAAATGTTCTGTGAACCATGGATTGTGACTTGTTCAGTGTTCTATGAACCATGAATTGTTCAGTGTTCTATGAACCATGAATTGTTCAGTGTTCTATGAACCATGGATTGTTATTTGTAAGTGTTTTATGAACCATGAATTGTTAAGTGTTCTATGAACCATGAATTGTTCAGTGTTCTTTGAACCATGAATTGTTAAGTGTTCTATGAACCATAGATTGTAAAGTTGTTTGTGTTCATCTGCTGATGGATAGTCTGTATCATGTTCACTAACGTTTAGGAACGAGATGCACAAGATTAAGTTTAGATCTGCAACTCAGAACATCCAATTAGAGACTAAACATCATCTGGGAACAAGGCCATAATACAGCTGTTGTATCCTCAGCCATTAGTCATTTCTAAATTGTATAAATGAAGGATTGAACCCAAAGTGGTAGAGAAGGGTCAATATTCACAAGACAAGTCTTCGCAACTATTAAATGAGATTTTTAGGTAATTTTTAATTAATTATGGAAAATTCCCTTACCAAGGGGTTGGGACCAAAAAAAGAACAGAGATCTTAATCTTTTGAAGACAAATTGACCCAGTCTAGTTCCGCTACACTATTAATTATCTTTACCAGATATTTTGAGATTGTAATATATGTACTTAGTAAGAGGTAGACACTTACACATTTTTTCAGGTTCGTATGTCAAAGGTTAAGGTCAAGTCATTAAATCAGATTGGATTATGGTTTCTGCTATTTAACTTCACTATTTGAAAGCTTGCATATTCAGCAATTTCTTGATTAAGTTGTCAAAGCAGAACAAGATTTGTCAAGTTGGAGTGGAGAATGGGGAAGTGACTGGTGCTATATTTTTTTTAAATTATTCTAACAAAGTTTATGTGTGCTAATTGAAACTTTAAGCCTAACTGCTCAGCTCCTTGCAGTAATGATTGCAATTTTAAGCTTAACCCATCAGCTCCTTGCAGTAAAAGGACTTTATATAAACTTTATTTATTTTACAACAATTATGAAACAAGTTAGTTCAAGTTATATTAATCACTCTTGTTGGCCCGGATGAAAGCGTGTGTGGAGGTCTAAGTGTGGGAGGAAACCGGAGTAACCGGAGAAAACCCACGTGATCAGGCAGGTGACCCCAACCTTTTCGCGTCCGATCGGGGAATCAAACCCCGGCCGCCTTGGTGAAAGGCAAGGTCACTATCCACTGCACCACCTGACCACCCTAAAGGACTTTGACTAATGAATTATCACAACAAACTTTTTATTTCAGGTTATTGCATCTTTGGATTCTGTGGCTGCAGAAAATCATGAATTGAGGAAGGAGCTACACAGTGTGTATAAAGAGGTGATTGAATTGTTGCAAGATGTGGAGCGTAATGACGAAAACAACCCTCTCACGGAGCTGCTACATCTACACTATGAAAACTTCTTTGATACGCTCCAGAAGGAGAAGGGCACACTATCAGGAAATACATCCAGGTGCCCCATCTTAGTTTTAGGTATGTGAAAGTTTAAGGTATGTGAAGATTACAATCATCCAGCTACCCCATCCTAGTTTTAGTTACATAAAGATTACAGTACAATTAGGTGCCCTATTCTTAGTTTTAGGTATATGAAGATTACAATACATCCAGGTGCCCTTCCTAGTTTTAGGTATGTTAGGATCAGATTATCTGCTAGTGACCAATCCTATGTAGCTAACCTGATAGTTAGTAGTGTTGAACTGATGTGGTGCTATGTCTGTAGTCCATCTGTAGTCCATCCGTAGTCCATCCGTAGTCCATCCGTAGTCCATCTGTAGTCCATCCGTAGTCCATCCGTTGTCAATCCGTAGTTCATCTGTAGTCCATCTGTAGTCAATCCGTAGTCCATCTGTAGTCCATCTGTAGTCCATCCGTAGTCCATCCGTAGTCCATCTGTAGTCCATTTGTCATCAGTAGTCTGTCTACTCCTGCTCTAAACAATATCTCAAAATATTACTGAGGTGAATTCAAACAAATTTGGTGGAAATATCTGTAGTCCATTGGGATCAAATGTTATACAAATAAATAGCTGCCATTAATTGTGTATTACGCTTTTGGAGTTGGACTAATTATTGAACAAGAGTTTTGATTGGTTTGAGGTAGGATTGCTTCTTTAATTTAATTAAGTCAATCCTGTGGCATTGAGTAAACAATACATTTTTTACTTCTCAACATTTTGATCCTTTTATTGAAAACATAACTATATATATATGTACAGTGTTCATATATATGTAAGGAATGGATTATAAAATCTCATATTATACAAACGTAACAGAGGGGGAATAACGCATGGCCAGATCGAGGTTAGAACCCAGGACTCTTCGAACTCTAAACGGACGCTCCAACCAAATGCGCTACCTGGTCACTTGCGTTCGACAGAGTCGGGTTCCGCTTCATTCCTCCCTCCTTTAACAAACTCTTTGATCCCGAAGACACACAAGACCCCATACCACCTTCTGTGGGTATATTTTGTTAGGTACCAAATGTATCGGAGCAGGAAAGTGCACAGCCAGACCGAGGTTTAAACCCGGGACCCTCCAAACTCTAGACGGATGCTCTGACCAATTGAGCTTCCTCGTGGCTGGCGATTGTCTCGGTCCAGTTCCCTTACATTCCTCCCTCCTTTAACAAAGTCTTCGACCCTGAAGATACACAAGACCCTATACCACCTTCTGTGGGTATATTTCGTTGGGTGCTAAATGTAACAGTGAAAATGTATGGCCATACTGGGGTTTGAACATGGGGCCCTCCTAGTTCTAGACAGGTGCTCTAATCAATTGAGCTACCTGGTCGCTAGCGAACAACCCAGTCCAATTCTGCTTCACAAATACATAACTTACTAAAGGTTTGGGAAGAAATTTGTTTTCTATCACTTGTTTCTGTTAATTATTGTATTAATTGTTTTTATTGGTATGAAGGAGAGACTGGGGCAGGGAAGAGTTCCTTCATCAACTTGTTGCTAGGTGAGGAGGCCCTGCCTACACAGGTCCTTAGCAACACCAATGTCATCTGTGAGATACAGTACAGCGACAGCTATTGGGCCATCCTGTATACCGCTGGGGATGAACAGAAAAGGATTGGAGATGTAGACAAGTCAAACTTCTTCAAGACCCTGGCCGAACACATACAGAAGTCGAGTGGATCTGAGACGGGCAACACTATAAAGTATCAGAGAGCTCAAATTTATCTCCCCTGTGATATTTTAAAGGTAAGACCTGATTGTGAGATAATTATACAAGGTTAAATAGAATACAGTTATTGTATGGGTGTGAGGGAAATAGCACTTTTATTGGTCCCCGAGACATTAACTATTTCCCGAGGTGAATTCCCAAAATACCCATAAAATAACTGTTTTATTACACCAACAAAAAAAATATTCCATTTCTTTTGTAAAGATGCATGTAATAAAGCATACAGACTTTATCGTATTGTATGCGATGGAAGTAGAGATGTTCCAAAGGAACATGACAAACGCAATGTCCAATCAGATTGAACGAAGCCAAAAATTCTGTGAAAAATTTGAATGCATGTTAAATAGCTCATTCCGGGTAAATAGCTCTAATGGCTATTTACCTGGTAAACAGTTTCTTGAAAGAGGTTATTTTAAATGGTATTTCTATTTTCTAGTTGTATATAGTGTAAAAATATGGTTTATTCTTAAGCAGCTTTTGGCTTAAAATAAGATTCTTTTTACAATTGCTTTAAGGCCTTGTTTTAAGGTTTAACCTAGTGTAACAGATATCTTTCCATGGCTCTGCTAGGAGTGAAGTATAAGACCTCTGGTTTACTAGTCTTTTAGTGTTTTACCAGGGTGACATAAAAGTAAGTATAACATAAAGTGGCTTGATGACTGAAGTCTAACATAAACCTAACATCACTCAGGGTTTAACTTAAGGTGCCTTGATGACTGCAATATAATACAGGCAGGTACAGGAAGAAAGGAGTATTAGGGATGTTCTGCATGCACAAATTAAGTAATAAAAGATGTGTTTATACCCATAGGGGAAAATATGAGTGTTGTTGAGGATGAAATCACTTGATCTTAGAATAAAGGTTAGTTGGAAATAATTAATTGAAGGGCCAACATTTTTAATTTCCTTCAAAACAGGGAGAGTCGATAAGTATTGTGTACATTTATAAAAACAATTCACATTCACAAGAAATCCAAACGAGCAGCTTTACTATGATCCGTTTAATTTACAGACAGGGTTGGTGATTGTGGACAGTCCTGGGATCGGAGACACACCAGAGATGACCCAAATGGTTCTAGATTATATTATTGAAGCCAGTTCCTTCATCTACATCATCAACAGTGCTAATGCAGGCGGGGTCCAGGAGGAAAGGGTAATACTTGTTTGTGTTAAAGGGAAAATACAGACAGGTACAGGAGGAAAGGGTAATGTGTGCGGAGGAGATAATACAGGCAGGTACAGGAGGAAAGGGTAATGTGTGTGGAGGGGAAAATACAGACATGTACAGGAGGAAAGGGTAATACATGTGTGTGGAGGGTATAATTCAGACAGGTACAGGTGGAAAGGGTAATACATGTGTGTGGAGGGTATAATTCAGACAGGTACAGATGGAAAGGGTAATACATATGTGTGGAGGGTATAATTCAGACAGGTACAGGTGGAAAGGGTAATACATGTGTGTGGAGGGTATAATTCAGACAGGTACAGATGGAAAGGGTAATACATGTGTGTGTAGGGGATAATACAGACAGGTACAGGTGGAAAGGGTAATACATGTGTGTGGAGGGGATAATACAGACAGGTACAGGTGGAAAGGGTAATACATGTGTGTGGAGGGGATAATACAGACAGGTACAGG